CCTTCGCCCGCTTAGAAGTGGATTCGAACCACTGACACAAGGATTTTCAGTCCTTTGCTCTAACCAGCTGAGCTACCTGAACCACTTTCCTAAAGTCTGTTTTCTTCATCGAATAGCGCCCTACCTTACCACTTTACTAGTCAGGGAAAAGCCCTTTACTAATCAAATTGAATAGATAGGCTTTTTCGCGCTAGCGCCTCTATTATAAAGCGTTGCTTGTTCTTTCCCGCCTAATCCCCCACTCAAGAACCGAGAGCCGTCCAGGGACTGGACGAGCTTGCTTATAGAAAGAAGATAGGCCGATAAAATCAAAACAAGGCGCAACGGGCTCTCCGCTCCTAGTCACTAAGAAGTGCTATTCTGTCCTCCGGGGGACTGGACTCCACCAAGAGGTTCTTTCTCTCACGTCATTTCGCCCGCCCGTTTCATTTCCGTGCCGGAGGAAATGGGATTCGAACCCATGATACAATCTTCTTGTATGTCGATTTAGCAAACCAATGCCTTAAGCCACTCAGCCATACCTCCAAGTTTTTTATCGGAATGGAATTGGATGTGCCGGGTTTGGTTGCTTGCCCGAAGGGCTATCTGATCCGATCAACTACGTAAGCCGTAGCGCGCTAGCGCGCGTACTCTTCCTCTATGAGCGAGACTCTATCCAGATCTATGGATCTCCCCAGCATCAAAGCGAGACTCCATCCAAATCTGCCACTCCTTGGGCGAGGCCTTCTTTTCTATGAATACCCCACCACTGAATGATTGACTTTCAAGTTCTCGCCTCCGACCCAACCAGGAGAGAACACAGGGTCAAGCCTATTCACTTCACAACAACAAAACAAGCAAGGGATTTAGCTAGCGTCTCAAGCCCTCTCCTTTCAGTCGAGTCACTTTGTACCTCTCGCTTTGCTCGATCCGCACGTTGCGCGTTAGCGCATCCGTTTTTCTTGCTTGAACAACGAACATTTGATTCAATTCCTTACCGCTCCGTGGGCCTGAGATGAGAGGGAAGGTCTATTTTACTCGAATCCTGGACCTTATCTTTCATCCTACACCGGTAAATGGGATCAGTTTTTCTTTTTGAATCAATGCTGGCCCAGTCGAGGCTCGTCCATGCCCAATCCCGATGGACAAACCTTCGATTTGCCCCTAGCTCTTTTTCCAAGAATTTTCCACTCCCCGTCGAATGACCCGTCTTCCCCAGTCCCTTAAAGCCCTCCCGGGGGCCTAGCCCTCTTTCTCAACTCGAGTCTGAAGTTCAGCGGCTTTCATCGTTTACGAACACCTGCGCTAATAAGACAAATAAATGGGGAGTCTATGCTTTGAATGAATCAGTAACAACGGATTAGTGGAATGAGGGATCAAGAGACGGATAGGGAGGGAATGGCCTATAAATCATTGGTGGACCTTCCCTTTTTCCAGTCACGGAGCTCTCAACTGAGTTGTTTAGGTTATGGAATTCCATCTCTAGTTGGGATTCGATAAAATGTGGTGCGGTTTCATCTCTCTCGACCAGTTCAGGTTCAAGGTGAAAAAAGGGGGGAGAGAGGTACGAAGTGACTCGACTGATAAGGAGAGGGGACCCAGACTTGAGGATCTCTATGGCGGGAGGTTTATTTCGTATCAAGAGTGTGTTGGGGAGGCCTTTCAAGATGGATTGGATCGAGAGGCGATGCTTATGCCTCTTCTTTATCGATAGGATTCCCATCATTGAAAGTATACGGCGAAGGAGACAAGGGCGAGGCACCGAACATGTTCTACCCTAAACCTCCATCCGTCATTAGTCATCTCAATTCGCTTTTCCTATTCACTAGTACACTGCGCGCTACAACTAGCAGCCCCTTTACTAGTCAGGGAAAACGCTAGCTAGCTACAACTAGTTAGAACCCCAACTTGATGGGGTATTTGAAGAAGCCTGCTGAAAAACATAAGCGCGCTAGCGCGCAACGGCTGATGAAAAGCCAGCAACTTGTTAGGAGTCAGTTTTGGCTTGCCCCTTTATTCTTATTAGTCAGATAGGTTTGGAACCTTATACAAACAAGGTGCTGCTCGCCCCTATCTCTAAAGTGGCTTATGCACTCCACTTGTTACCACTAAACGACGAAGCCAGGAGCGGAAGGAGGGACTTGAACCCTCAACCTCAGCCTTGGCAAGGCTATGCTCTACCATTAAGCTATTTCCGCCAGCGGGGCAACATCAAGCAGCGAAGCACTACTGAGCAATTAACGTATCACTTGATACGGACGACTTCTGTTTTTCCGCCGGACCACAGTCTTGACCTCCGATCGAGCTACGAACACGAGTAGATAGGCGGTTAGGGGCCTTCAATCAATCTCCGGCCGCTCAGTGCCGCTATTGGTGCGAGTTGTAAGGAGTCTTGGTCTCGAGTCAAGCTGGGGTTTCATTCTCGTAACGGGAATGAGTGCACCGCAAGACCAGACAAGTTGCTCCCTCGCCTCGCAGCGGCGGCATCTGTCTTTTAAGTGAAGTCATTTCCTAAGACGGC